CATCAAAAATAAGTATGGTGAAGTGATACTGCTTACATCATTATAGGTTAGATAATAGATTTTCAGACATGGTCTTCAAATTTAAGGAAAACATCTGGCCATCTTCCTGTTTTGGAACTCCTGAATCTTTTTACCTTGCACTTAGTCCAATTTAAAAAAGTAAATGAACAATGATGTCTTTATTCTAGGATGTTCACATAGTAAAATGTTTTACAAGTACAGTATAGTAAGCTTTTCTTTGTTGTAAAATGTAACAGGGTAAAACTTTCCTGCTGTGGTTATGATTTCCATAGTGGCTCATAATATATAGTTAAGTGATTTATCACATTTCCCTGTTTTTTATGCACAGAGAATGCCACTTGGCTTTACAAAATGTGCTGACTTATTAGTTGTGCTTCAATAATGAATTCAGGTGGAACTGGCTTGTGTTTGATACATATAATTTAGAAACTTCACTTTAGAGTAGAATAGGGATATAAAATCAGCTGGTTTGGAGCCAGAATCCTAACGGAAGAACTTCACAAGATTCTGCATATAATTAGCTTGGAAAATTTCTGTAGACCCACCAAAACTTTTATTGTTCCTTAAACCTCAATGCAAAAACTGTATACCTATTCTATGAATTCAGCCCAAACACAGTTTCTTTACTCTCTGTGGAAATATGCAGGCAGACACTAAATGGGCTGATAAGAAACAGTACAAAAGAATAAGAAAAACATGTGGCCATCATCCATACTGGACTTTTCCCGTTGTCCATTTGGAATTGATTTGCAATAGCTGGCTTAGTGAGATGAGTATGTTTCCTTCCTGCTACCTGTTCCCTCTTATTACTCGTGTTGTGGTGTTCCTTCTTGTGCATCATATCACAACTGAGAATCTCCAAGTAAATGCCAGGTGCACGCCTTTCTCCTCTTAGATTAAGGAACATCACTAATATGATGCTATTTCTTTGGCATGAAAAAAGTCCCCACCACATGTCTACTTGCTGATTTACTTTTGCATACTCCGTTTACAGAATTTGCTATTTCATACAATAGCATTGCATGTTGCGCACATTTTGTGCATATTTTGTACATGCATGCACATGTTTTGTACTCCCCAACAGTCAATTGCTGTACATTTTCCTGACAAAAAAGGGCTGTACTCTCTAGATTTAAAATAAACACTGAAAATAAAAATACAAAAGATATCAGTAACAAAATAAAATACTTTGATAAAGAATCAATTTCCAATAATTAATGTTCAACACAGAATACATAAAGCTGCCTTAAGGGTATACTACTGAAGAATCACACCTGTTTTTGTAATTTTTTTCCTCAGCCATATTTGTTTTGCCTTGACCCTGTTGAAATGGTGTCAGGTTTTATAGTCTTGGTTCCTTTGTGCAGCCAGAACTCTGAATATGTTTCTTAAAATTCAGTGCAGAAGTTTGGAATAAAAAATCTGAGAAGAAGAAATGGAATAAAAGAGAAATACCACATCTGTACCTGGTTCTATCTTCTGCACATACAAAAATACATGAAAAATAAAGGGGAAAATGTTACCAGCATCCCTGAATGTATTCTACCTCTTATTTAAACACTAGACTAGAGTGTCTTTCTCCAACTAGATGCTCTAGAAACATGTGGGATTTCAGTTCCTATAATCCTCAACAAGCATGATTTTTTCATCATTAGTAGAAGATTATGATACCTGAATTCTAACGTATCTGGAGGAACACTAGCATGGGAAAAATTGAGCTTAAATTCTGCCTACATATGGGTACAATTAAATATGCAGAAACAGAAGCTGGAAACTCATGAGTATTCAAACTGAGTCTAATTTGTTTAAACATTGTAAAATATCAAATGTCTACGATGATACCCAATTGAAATACAGGCAAGGATCCCAGATTTATGCACAGTAGCTTTCCAGGATCCCTTTTTCTAGTGTGATCCTTTAACCACCCTTAAACGCCAAAGAATTCTCCAAACCCCAAAGAATTCTCTATAGCTTCATTGTATGAGGCACAATGGGCTGCAATCAGGAGAAGAAAGCTGTAGCTTTGTAAATGCATGCCAGTACTTAGTTTGAGAACATGCAGGGGCCTCTTTTGATTCTAGCTGCATTAATTAAATATTGGAGCAGAAAAGTAAATGCTCAATAGAGGGATAACAAGTAACTGAGCAAATTAGCTTTAACTATAGCCTTCCATTTAGTGCCCTTTGGCTTCACTCCCTTCCTGTACTTGGCTCTAGTTTTACTACTGGCTTTTCTTCCATTCTTTACATTCTTCTGCATATAGAAATTTGTCAAAATTATTGCTGTTCAGCCACCCCTCTCTTTAACTTCAGTCCACAAACCTTTTGGACTGGGAACTTACAATCATGCATGGTTTTTTGAGATAAGTATCTTTCCATTCTCTTTCCATCCCATAAACGCTCTTGAGCTTCACCTCTTTGGTCTTCTCCCCTTAAAAACCACAGAGGCTTTTCTTTGCCAATCTTTTACAAAGCAGGACTCTTAAGAGATGATTCATTTGGTTGGCTACTTTGTGTATTTTGGATCTTGTCTCTTTGCCTTTCTTTAATAGATTGATCAGTTTTGCACACACAATTCCAAGAAGCCATCCAGCTGCCTTACTAGATGCCAAAGTAATAATGTTTGTGGGTTTAATCGCCATACTTCTTCATATATGTCCTTAGATCTTGTTTGCCTTTCCTAATGCTGCCAGATGTTGCTTGGATGGTTTTACAAACATGTGGTAATGAATGTTCCCATACCAGTGATTTTTTTTAACAGATTGAAACTACTTTGTTTTAAAGGAGTGTTTTGGACCAAGATAGGTATTACATGAAAACATGTGTAGATTACTTATGATAGCTTTTTTTTTTAAGCAGGGAATATCTTTTTCAACAAGATAAATTAGATCTCTGTATGCATGCTTATGAATGTGTGCATACGTATCTACGATTTAATTCAAGTTGACACTGAACTTCTTGGCTGCCCAGGAAAACAGGCATTTATATAAGAGTTTACCAAGAAGCATTACTGGGTTTACAGGTTAACAATGAAGTGGGAAAATGGCACCAGTACTTTTCCTCCCTAAATTTTAAATTTGAATTGCCCTTCTCAAAGGAATTGTTGTTGTGTAGAAGGAGTAATTTGTGTGTTTTCTGTATGTAAAAATCTCAAGGTTCCCCCCATCCAATTATTTTTTGAGTCATATATTTTCTTTTGAAACAAAATTCCTAATTATATTATTCTATTTATATCATATATTTCTTCAGAAGCCCCATTATGTTTAATAAGGTTTAGTCTCATAAAAGTATGTGCAGGATTAATTCCTTACTCTGTGTTGAGTATTTGTTTAAAACAAACCAAAGTTTGTATCAATGCCCTTACACAGTCCTTTTAGCAGAAGTTTCAATAATTTGGGCATACTGTAGAATGTTGTGATGTCAGGAGAAAAGATTTGACTAAAAAGTAGACTTTGGAATGTTTGATTGAAGGCAGAAGAGGAGAGGCTATAAAGGAAGCAAATATTATGCCACAAAAAGCTGGAGATTTTGTAAAAACTAAATATGATCCTGTGTACAAAGAAGTGTTTGAAACGTAGTACGCATAGGGCCTGTTTCCTGCAGTTCCTGACAATAGATTTTGCTAAAATAGTCACTATACATACTGCTTTTGTTAAGTGATCAAAGCACTCAAATACATTACCTTGCTAAATCTGACAATTACTCTGTACCGTGGACTAATCTTATATGTCCTGAACTACAATTAAAGTAGGATTGAATGATTTTTCTGCCTAATTATTCATCTCTGAATCAAGAAGGCTTAACAATTTTCCCAATTCCTGAATGTTTCACATCCCATATAATTCACCCTGTCTTTAGCGATATTTTGACTTCCCTATTAACATATATAAGATAAATTTTAAATACAATGAAATGTTGCCACATACTGTCTAATATGAAGTACAGGTAGGCCTCACCTATTGATTGCCTCATGTAACAACTGCTCAAAGTTATGATACTGCAAAAAATAATAATAACTGTGCAGCCAAGTCACACATTTACAACCTTCACAGCATACCTTAGTCACATGATAGCTAAAAAATTGGTTCACTTGTTCTGTGTCTGACCCTTTTTTCCCTTTTTCCTTCTCTTGTAGAGAGGAGAGTTTGGAGAGGAAGGGATTTACAAGAGGATAAGTAGGCACACAATGGGGAATATACATCAAAAAGAATGCACTAGCATCCGCAACCACAAGGGTTGAGAGTCGGAAGCACACTAGGCAAATGTGCTCTCATGTGCTCCCTTCTTCAATCTCTCTGCTGTATGAAGGGGAAAACAAAAAACAAGCAAACGAACAAAACCAAAACAGGTCAGGCCCAAGAGAGATTGTCTAAAGTGATTTAGGCAATCTCTCCTGTGCCTGAGCTGGGTTTTTTTTCTTTTCTTCTGCTTACAAAAGAGTAAGCAAGCACATAATGAGATATATACTGGCAGTTTGCCTCGTGTGTTCACAGGACCCAGCTCCAAACACAGGTTAACAGAATAACAGAGTTGAAAGTGGAACCCCCTGCTCAAGCAGTCTCTTCTTTAAAAACTCCAGTGTTGGAGCATCCACATGTTTGGGGCTGCTTGTACCAGCACATTCCTTTTGATGTGTATTTTCCATTGTGCATCTGTTTTCTCTCTTGTTATCCCTTTCTCTTCAATGAATGTAAATATAACAATCCACTCCTTGCTAATTATTCCAGGACTGGGATGAACAGTTCAAAGGACAGGGGAGTGGAGAAACGAGAAAGCTAAAGTAAAATCATAAGCACAGGTGCAGTCACATGATTCCCCATTTAATGATTACTTTATTTAACAAATAAGTTGCCAATCCCAATTGTGGTCATTAATCAAAGACTACCTATATCCTAAAAATAAATGAAGAAGTCCATGATCCAGCCTCAATGCTGGGGAGACTATTCACCTCACATTTAATGCTTTTGCTTTCTGTTGCAGACTTGCTGACCGCCAAGGAGTACCACTGCTTACTGCAACTGCTTTGCCCTGATTTTCCTGTAGAGCTTACTCAGAAAGCAGCAAGGTGAGCCTTTATGCATAATTACTGCTTTGATTATATTTTAGTGCCAATGACCAGTTCATATTCCAATAGTAAAGGTAAAACCTCTGAGTTTTCCGCTGTGCTCTTAAGACCCTGCTCTTCCGACAGGCAAGCTAGCTTCATAATTGAGTTTTCGGAATTCTTAAATTTTTGGGTTTTTTAGCTAATTGGCCTTGAATGTAATACTTTAAATAATTTTTAAATTTAAATTGTGATATTTGTATTGTGTTTTTACCTGGCTGTACACCGCCCCGAGTCCTTCGGGAGAGGGGCAGTATAGAAATAAAATTATCCTATCCTATCCTATCCTATCCTAAAAGAGCTTCAAGTTGAGCTTTGACCTCGCTGCTCCACTTAGATGTATTCATGTAACATTATTGGCAACGATATGTTGATAGTACTCAGCAATTCTAAATTATCTGTATTACTGGAACAGGTTGCTTTGCTGCATAGAAGTGTGGGCATAGTTCTTTCTTGATTGTAATTCATTCATAGTTGCCCAGCCCTGTGAGCAGAAACATTTGACTTTGCTGCTATCTGTTACCAATTAAATATGGTAACTTTCAGTATTCCAGTTTAAAAATGAAAATTAATACCATGGCTGCAACATCTGTATTTAGAAAGATGTTTCTCACAGGATTTTTTACTATATTTTTAGAATTGTAGCTCATATTTCCACAAATCCTGCAGTTCATCAATACATCAATACTTACTGATCTGGTTTTTTTCAGGAGCAAGAGCTGTTATGATACATGAGAAAGACATACAGTTCTTGATTCATTTGCTGACCAAAATATCTAAAGAATATCTAGCTTAGTTCTAAACCCACATAGAAACCAGACTAATATAGTTGCCTGAAAAGTAATTGACATCTTCCTCACTCTTAATGATTTGTTGATGAAGCCATCTCTACTAATAGAATGCACTAAAACAACTCTAAAGCTAGGATTTCTGTGATTGCATTAGATTCTTGAAGATTCTTGTTTTGTTTGTTTGTCTCCAAGGACCAAAACCTCAAATGACTAATGAGCAGATTCTACCAGGTGCTTTGGGATTTCCCAGGAGCTTGCAAAGTGTTTCATCAAATGCTTGGTTTTACTGAGGAGTTAAAAGAGCTCTTGAAGTGATTGTCTGGCAGCAACAATTCTCAATTTGCAAATTTTATGATGCTTTGTTTGGTTCTTGGAGATGAAACACTAGCAATAAATCACACACTACTTGTACAAAAACTATGGATAAGAGCTTATTCGGTGAAATACCACTATTTGTCTTATGGTGTCATTGGTTTGTTGTTCAGCAGTGCTACTGGTAGTTAAGATGGCCTGCTCCTACTGGGTAGAGATAGGAAGGAAGATCTGCCAATCTACATAGTGTTTTGCTGATAAAGTCATTCAAATTCTTGTTTTTTCTATGCCTTACCAGTGTCTGAAATTGTTACTGGAGCAAAGTCTTGTTCAGTGATACAAAATTCATTTTGGCTCATGAAGTCTGATAAAGAAGGGCTCTGTAGCCCTTCTTTATCCGACTTAAACGTATGCTCCTTTTGGATCCTTTCACTGGGGAACAGGGATTGAGTGACTAGATCGGTAAATGGTAATGACTATCTAGGAGAGTTGGTTATACTAAGTGCCGTAAAAGAGGCAGTCAAGCAGGCATTGTTGAAGAGATCTCCCCTAAATCTGGCTACATTTTGTTTCTAGCCTTCTATTTCCAGAGAAGGGTGTTAACAAAATGGTGAGGTTTCAGCTACAGAACGTCATAGAAAAAGTAAATTATATGACAGACTCAGAGTTCAGTCAGGATATGGGACATAAGTATCTTGGGTTGCTTTGGTAGACAACCTTCAGCAAAATCTGAATTGCACTCCTGCTGGTTGTACTTGATCTTTCACAGAGTAGTTGACAGTGGTAACTTTCTGGACTGTCTGCAAAGTTTGGGGATCAGAAGCATTGTTCTACAATCTCTTTCTCCTCAAGCAGACAGTGTCAGTTGGTAGCAAGGGAGGAGAGGTTAGCACAAGAGGGAATCCTTTGTGCAGAGATGGCATTTTAAACAAATAGCAACAGCCATTAGGAAAACATGAACTTGATTGGAAAAATAAGAAAGCATGAGAAAGAAACTCAAGGTTCATCTTCGTTGACTCTGGTATAAGGAGAAGAGAAGGAGAAATGCTTTCCTGTGTTTAAAATTCCATTATTATAACTTACGTCAACAAAATATTTCTTGTGGTGCTTGTTTACTGACCTGGTCTACCTTGAAGGGATGACAACACCTGTATGGAACCACTAGGACAGGTTATCCATCAGTTTGAAGTGAGGTATTAGTATGCTAGTAATACCCAGTTAAATATATTCATCTTGGGCTAGACCGGAGAGTCTGTGACACTCTGTCTAGAGCAGGGGTCTCCAATCTTGGCAACTTTAAGACTTGAAGTCCACAAGTGTTAAAGTTGCCAAGATTGGAGACCTCTGCTCTAGAGGTTATAAGAGACTGATACAAAACCGGCTGAAGTTCAGGCCCAAAATTGCTGTTTATACAGAAATCTGGCATTCTGTCTGCTCTGGATTTATTTCTTGGTTGGGGACTCTCTCCCCCAAGGAAGCAGGTCTGTGATCTTCAGGTAACCCTGAACTGACAGCTACTGCTAGATTTGGAAATGAAAACTGAGATCCTTCTTTAAGCACACCAGTTGGAATCCTGCTCGGAGGATAAGTTTCATCGCTATCTGGCTAGACTACCCCAGTGTACCTTATATGGGAATATTTGAGACAAGTCAAAAATCACAATAGATTTTTGGAGGAATCCTCATGCTAGCAATTGAGAGCTACTTATAGCCAGTTATATTGCAACGCTTCTTAAATTCTCAATAGGTTTGTGTGTACAGTTCAGAGGGCTGTTTTTAACCGATATGGCTTGGCTCCTAGGTTCCTTCAGGATCCTTTAGTATAACTTGCCAGTAGGGGATACATTACATTCTTTATGAACATAAGATGATTGTATTAGGCCAGCAATGATTATTTTAAATTTTATTTCATTCTTTTAATGTTTCTGCTGTGATAATTGGCTTATGGATTCATAAGTGTGGATTTATGTTTTATGCCTTGGGTGGTTAATATTTGGCAGTATGAAACAGAATACATAAAGCTCCAGCTACCTCTTAAGGGGTCTTTTAGTCTTTGACACTTTTGTTATGGACAACTCATAGTAAATCTCCATTGAAATACAAATCTCCACAAATCATGTTTGAAACCTGCTTTTTAAAATGTGGTAAAGACATAGGTGTACAGCAAAAGGGCGCACCTTTTGATTCTCACAATGAATTTGGAGAAAATGACAACTTTTTCACAATCTTTTAGCATCTTAATATATCTTTTAAAAATTCACATGTTGTTTATATCCATATGACTGGCTTAAGCAAGAGCTATTTAGTAGATTCCTAAGAATTGGCATATAAAATGTTCTAACAGATCAACTCAATTTAAAATAGGGATCACTTATTTTTCAGCCTAGCTCTGCCAAATGAGATTAATAGCAGTCTCTTTCAGAAACTATTTGTAGGGAGGAATAAAGAAGAATTGCCACCAATAATTGCAAAATCTATATAAATAAAAATGTAAATGTCCGTTTGTACATAACCGCACATCTCTGAAAGTTCTTCACCGATTGCTTTCAAATTTTGACACAACATTGCATTCGACTACGGGCGTGTTTTTATATATCTATATTATATACATGTCACCTGTGACAGGTAAAAACATTGGAAAACATTGAAAGACATTGACAAACATTGAAAAACAGCGCCACCTGCTGGACGTAAAACCAACACACCAACATTTTACCACATGAATTTTGAAAAATGAATCACAAATTTTTCAGTAGGTATAATTCCAAAATATATCAACAAAAAAATATCAGCAGTCCAGATACAGAAGACTCAGGTAGCACATACATTTACATGTTTAAAAATGCTGTAAAAATTGTTGCTCTGTTCTCTGAGGAAACATACTACATCACAGCTGCAGTTGTGTTTTTACTGAATGAAATGTCTAAAAATGGGCATTTGCACATATATACCTGAATACTTATAGGAAGCACAGATGAAGGGAATTTTGGGGAAAAGCAGACTAGTTATGAAATGTCACTCCATCAATAATTTCCAGGATAGATAAATCACTTAGTAACAAATGTTGGCAATGCCATGAAAAAAAATGAACATTTTACCACATGAATTTTGAAAATTAAATCACAAATTTTTCACTAGGTATAATTCCAAAATATATCAACAAAAAAATATCAGCAGTCCAGATACAGAAGACTCAGGTAGTCCTCGACTTGCAACAATTCACTTACTGACCATTCGAAGTTATAACAGTACTGAAAAAAGTGACTTATTACCATTTTTCATGCTTATGACCATTGCAGCATCCCCATGGTTATGTGATTTACATTCAGCTGCTTGACAACTGACTTACATTTATGATGGTTGCACTGTTCCTGGGTCATATGATCACTTTTTGTAACTTCTGACAAGCAAAGTCAATGGAGAAACCAGATTCACTTAACAACAGAATTACTAATTTAACAACTGCTGTGATTCACTTAACAAATGTGGCAACAAAAAAAAGTGGTAAAATGGGGCAAAACTCACTTAAGAAATTTCTCACTTAGCAATGTAGATTTTGGTTTCAGTTGTGGTTGTAAATTAAGGACTACCTGTATTAAAGATTGATTGGATTCGATTGGAAAGATTTAAAGAGCTCAAAACCAGATAAGAAAAATATAGTGCTACAAACATAGCGATAGAAACTTAGATATAGAAATTCATAATTCTATAAAATATAAATAGTTGTAAATTAAAGTAATGGGCTCTAGCTTAAGATAGGTAGGAGAGTAACAACAAATATATTGTTAACATAACATGCTGTGGTGCGGAGAGCTGCGAAGGCCTGGCCTGAAAAGGTAAGGGCGATGGCGGGAGATGC